GATTTCGTCAAGCCAAGGGTTTGTGAAGCCACCGACATTCAGAATGGGGAAATATCCAGGTTTTGATGACATGAAACCGGTGGTTCCACGGAATTGTGCCGAGGTGTTAGGCGTACCCGTAAGAAACCTGTCCACACGCTCTTTGTGGGTAAGATGACCTCTCTAAAAATGGAGACTCTATCCTTTCACTAGTCTCAAGAGGAGGAGACTGAAAAAGCCCATGAAACTACAGACCAATGGCATTACTTCCCATGCTATCCAAGGCACTGTAAAGCACGGCTACAGATGTTATTTGGGACCACCCGAACGCAAATAACATCGTTCATCCCACCCAGCATGGCTTGAGAACCGGATGGTCGTGGACCACAAACCTGATTACCGCTTAGGATGACCGGACCACTAAGTGGGACGATAAGCAACCAGTCCACCCTATCTTTCTGGACTTATCCAAGCTTTCGGTAGCGTCCCACACCACAACATGCCTGCCCAACCTGCAGAAGTGGGTATCACTAGACCACTCCCAGCATGGTTTACAGCAAACCCAGGGGACAGAGAATTCTGTACCAAAGTAAACAGAATTCGATCAGCCTGGAGGAGTGCAAGAGTATGGGTTTCTCAAGGAGCGATCCTTGGACCACCTCTGTTTTTACTACCTATAAATGACCTCCCTGCTTAGATCTCCTCGTCTATCCTTCTGTTTGCTGACAGCATTAGAATAGGACGGTAGGTAGGGAGAGGATCCCAGGATACTCCAAGGCTATATATTGCCGTCGGAGTCTTGGTCAACTGGGAAAGGTCTAAGCTTTATTCTGGAAGAAGTGTGAGGTGTTGTATCTTCGCACACCGGAAGCGATGAAAACCGGCTGCAACCTTAATAAGTGTGCAGTTATCAGGGTATCTACGCAGAAAGACCTAGAGCGAAACTTTTCTGACACACTGGATACGTGACAACTCACAAGGGAATGATAGCAAAGGCGAACTCTATCACGTACCCTCTAAGAAGGCAGCTTAGAGCGCTAACCCCAGGATTATTCCCTATGATATTTAAAACCTATGTTAAACCACATCTGAAGGTATCCAACACGATACATCCCCCACTACCTGAGCGAAGCAATTACTGTTGAGAAGGCACAGAAAAGGGCGACAAGATCGGTTGTCGGACTAAGAGGCAGAACATATGCGCAACACGTCAGACAACCTAAACTTGTTCACATCAGGCCTTCGAAGGAGGCGGGGTAACCTAATGACAGCTTCAAAGATCATTCTCCAGTGGGGCCACCCGAATAGGTCAACATTATGAGTCCGAAACCAACAGCCTCACGGGGACCTCACTCGCATACCTCACAGGAGGACAAAGACAAGAGTGAGATCAAACTTCTTCCCGCACACAGTACACGCTTATTAGAACGCTCCTTAGAGGGAAGCAGACACAGATACATCAAACGACTCCCTCAAAGGACTACTAGATAAGTACATGAGTGCAAATGATCTGCCACGAACAGTTGTCAGTAGCAACTGAAGATATGCTCATCCATTCCCCGGCTTTAGCATCTACAATAAGACAAATCCATTCTCCATATTATTACCAGTAACACTTATCTTCCTATAAGTGCCTTTCGCTTCTGTTTCTCGCATTCCCTAGTCATCTTATTTCTAGCAATTTTTAAGTAACGCTTAACGCTTACTTGTAGGTGCTTACAAATACAGGAATTGAAAAAGTTAATTGACCTTATCAGCAGCTCCATTGCCCCAGCAAAAAAACCAGGCCGAAATTTGCGGTAAAAATGCATTTAAATAGACAATCACTATCTCCAAGGCCATAAGCAGAAAAAATGTAAAGACTTCTGCAAACACCGAAGGAGTACAACAGAACAAAATAATCAAGTCTCTCAGCTTTTGGATTTTTCCACAATGAAAAACTCCCACTTGCAATACTCAATCTAAAAACATCGAACGTTTGCAGCACTTCTGTCCGTCCACGCACCTCACCCCTGCGCATTCGTCAGCTCACTCCTCAACAGTTGAAAATTGGCATTATTATTCCTTTGAACCAACCGGTCTACCTCCTGTCAGTGGTTCTTGGGCGTTTCAACTGCCAAACTGCCTTAGCTCTCGGTTCTCCTCGGAGGTCATTCCCCAGGAAATATCTTTCCTGGTTATACATACGCATCTGGAGCTTACGGTTAAACTCGTTGGTCAAGAGCAGAGGATCAAGTGACAAGTGTCTGAAGGTGAGCCAACATAAATTATCTTCCCTTTTCTATTCTGTCCTTTTGCTGCATTCAGTCTTCAACCCTCTTATTGTTGTTAACTACTTGTTTTCCCAAGAAGTTTATATCATAGCGACATGTCTGCCCAAAACGCTAGGTCTGAAGCTTTGACACGGATAACGCGGTCGTGCACAAAAAGGGCAGTAACACCCTAAACAACACACTAGTCTGTACTAGAAGACAAACAGAGGTAGGGCAGAACACCGAACTTCTAAAGAAGTGGCCAACCCATGTTTCTAGAATTCCAGTCGCCATCAGACAGGTGACACAGAGTAGCACTAGCCCGTCACAAACTAGTCCTATCTTGAGCAAGGATCATACCATGCCTGAACATAGAAGACGACGTAAAAGGCTTCAGAACAAGGCAGCCACAAGCAGTTCGCCACAATCCGTAGCACCTTATTCATGGAAGGAAGGCTGTATTACGACACCCGATGGCTGCAGTGTTTGCACCAAAGTTGTTTCGGTAGTCGATGAGGCATTTGCATGCAACCTGTGTCAACGATGGGCGCATTGCCACTGCGATACCAAAGTCCCCCGACAATACTATAAGCTGATGAAGAGACAACCATGCAAGTGGTTCTGGTACATCTGTCCAGAGTGCAGGAAAATGCCCGCACTCCGCACAGAAAGCCTGAAGGAGATGCTCTCCGCCACGCAAAAGCTACCAGCATCCTCGAATAAAGTAGGGTTAACACCAAAGGATAACACAGAGAGACCTGGAAACAGACCTAGAGCTCCAGCTGTGGGCACGCCACCTCGCGTGGGGACCATATTAGGTCAAGTCTCCATACCCCTACCCGGCCCCAGGGGACGTCAAGCGCATGGCCAAAGACATCGACCGCCGAAGCCTCTACGAAACCCATTCCGAACACCCCACACACCGTGACTGAGAAACAACCAGTGGAATTACTCAAACCCATTGGGAAGTCGGGCGTGCCACCCACAACGAACCCAGGTCACAGGAGGACCAACTCGATCATTTTGTTCAACGTCGATGTATCGACAGACTCATTGTTGGTCGAGAGGGAACAATTTGACAGCCGAATGTGGACCGACTACTGTCAGATGCTGGGACTCCCTCCCCTCCCTGCAACTTTATGTCGCCTTTCTCGAGGAAGCCATGCACCCCGAGATAAGCCACCCCCTTTACGTGTGTCCCTAAATACCGCCAAAGAGGCTGAAGACACACTCCTCCTCTCGCGACAACCGGACGTTGTTAATGCCTGTAAAATTCGGGCCAGGCCTGACAAGCCATGGTCAATAAGAGAGGAGGAGAGAAAGTCAGCGGTTGGAAATCCCAACAGAAACAACACTATAGTTGTACATGGGATTCCAGAATTGCCAAGTGACAGCTCGGTCAAAGATCGGTACTTTCACGACGTCCAACAATGGCAATGGCTCTCAACCAAAGTTGGTCTCAACAGTATACCGGCCAACAGCGTCAGTAGACTGCCAAGGCCAGCGCACCTGAAGACCATACCCAATCCCAGACTACTTGCCGTCCAGTTCGACTCATATGCCTCCCTCACAGACGTTCTGCACGCATGGTATAATGCGAAGGATCGCATGGGTGGCTCAATACGTATATGTGAAAGTAAGCCTAGACCCACAAGGCAAGAGGAGAGACGGCAACCACCAAGACCTCTGGAGTCAGTGGTCGTCACACAGGCGCTGACCAGTGAGTTAGATACATCAAGTAAAGAAGCCACCACTGCTACAGCCCCCACCCAAGTTAAGAACAAAACACAAAAAACGGAACAATGCCAGTCCTATGAGGACTGGCGAGGCTAAATCAACCACGTAAGCGCTCATCCGCGAAAATACACATCCAGACCTCCCCTCTCATCAGGCACACTCTAATATGTATGTACAGCAACGTTAGGGGGCTAAGAGGGAAGGTAGCAAAATGAGGACGCTGCGTGAACATCAGCACTACGACATCATATTCATCACCGAATCCTGGCTCTCGCCGACATCTCCGACGAAGAGATGCGTGTTGCTGGCATGGAACTCTTCCGCAGGGACAGGGAACATAGAGCAGGAGGGGGAGTGGCTATCTACGTAAACTCCTGTTTAAAGGCAAGGATGGTTAGCGATACGGCCTTAACCCAGCTCCCAGAGTCTCTATGGTGCTACTTCACTCTCTTCTTTATTCTCTCTTCATTCCTTTACCACTACCTTACTATTCTCTTTCAGGTACCTACACAGACAGGAGTCATGGCAGTTCTCTAAACTTCCCAGCAACCCGTAGCTCCCTAATCACTCTACAAATTACAACCTACTAACCCACAAAACATCCACCTCACCGAAGCTAAAAGCAAGAAAGCAGAGGGGATTTCCTCGTCCACTGCAGGAGTAAACCGAACAACTGGAACCAAGCCCTAAGAACTAGACGCGAGAGATCAAAAACTACCAGTTTTCTACGCTCGCACTATCAATATTGGATATTGGAGACTTTAATGCAAGGGCTAGAAAACCACAAGTTTCCTCTGCTCGCACTATTGATGTTGGATTAACTTTGGTGCAGTTTAGTCCAGTAAGTCTCAATTATAAAATTGAGATAAATGCCTTGAAAAAATATGTGCTACTGGTGACCTTGATGCATGACAATATTTTGAGCCCGTCGCGTCATCACTTTGTAACGTGTGGTTGGTGACTTTTTAATGCGTTATCTACGGTGGGATGTTTTTAATATGGATAGTAAAATTTTGAATAGAGTGTTTAAACATGGATTATATCTGGTTTTGTGAATACTGTTCCCCAAATGATCTACATGATGGCAGAAAACGTTTTGTAACGCAGAAAGAGTTCGTTAACCACATCCGACTGCACCATTTAGTTCAGAGGACCGAAAATGATGTGGAAATTTTCATTTGTCGGTGAGTTTGTTAGTTCTTATATGAATGGAAGTTGAAGTTGAAGAGTACTGTATCAGGACTGTCGTACGACAGTGCTGATAGAGTAGTCCTACGTTGGACTAATGTACACATTAGTTCAACATGAAGCATAACCACTGTACTACTGATAAAGTAAAAAGTTATTCGAACGACTGATCTTACATAACTTATTTATGCATTGACTCTGTGGTTTGGTATAAGAGGGTATGCGGAACTGTTAATGTTTTGTGGTGTGATAAATTGGGTTCTGGATTTCAAAAATAATACATTCTTTAAAGTGTGAGTGCATACTTCCTCAAGTCATTAGTCAGTTTAAGCAGATATTAGTAGGTGAGGTAATCGTAAGTTTTAACTAAGCGTGTTTGCTGTTTCCTGCCCCATCTTGGAAGTGGTCCCTTATAGCACATGCTTTAACATCTGCTTGCGCATGAGAGTAATTTCGTTAGTTGTCGTATATTTACTTCTCTGCGTATTTTCTCCGTGCCCAACTATACTTGAGCAAACTCTTTAGGTCTGCTATCTCAGCGAGGTCTAGCCTTGACTTACTATTTTATTATATGATTCGTTTATTATTATTATTATTTGTCCCTTGGGTTCCTAGTAGAACATAGGGTTTCAGTGGCACGTCGCCATTGCACTCTCTTCTCTGCACTCTTTCCAACCTGGCTCCACGACTACCCACAAGCTTTCATTTCTTCCTTACGCGATCTCCTCCATGTCACCCTCAAACGCCCAACCCGTAGTTTCCCACTTGAGTCCCACTCGGGGGCTTGACCTGGCGCGTGGTGTCCTCAAATGGTCTTCCCGGTGTATGTCTAATCTAATCCAATCGATCACCTTCAGCATGTTCGTTGGTCGATGGGTTGTTGGTTGTCTCTTTGCCAATCAGAGTTCTTCCTTGCTTATTCTCGTTATTCTGACCATCTGATTTCCATTTTCAGCATCGAGTGAGTGTAGGCGGCAGGTGTTGTTGTATGTCTGGAGTTTGTTTGAAGTGCTTACGGTGACGCGCCAAGTCTGTGAACCATCACATAAAAGCACAGACTTGACTAACAGTGTCGAAGATCCGGATCTTGTTCTTTATGCTGAGTTGAGTGCAGCAGATCTCCACACTGATTTCGGATTAATGAAGGCCTGTCTTGGTGTGTTTCCGATCCTGGGATTGACGTCCCCATCTGTGCCGCAGCTTGTAGTTGAGACGATGCTGCCTTGCCTAGGTAGGTGAAAGAGACAACTTCTTTTATATTTCTCCCGTTTGTGGTGATTGGTGCTTGTTGTTGTTAATGGTGTTGGTTGGGTATCTTCACCGCCTCTGTCTTCCCTACGTTCACCTGAGGGAAGTCCTGTCTTCCTTCGCTGCCTCGCTACGCCTCTTCCGCCAACTTGTTAGTTTTTGCCTGTAGATCTTCTAGTTTGTGCGACATTAGACATAAATCATCATCGGCGAAATCTAAATCTTCTAGGGTCTCTCCATCGGTCCAGCCAGCGTATGCCCCTCTTCTCGCTCCTCACAGTTCGTTGCATAATCCAAGTCCAGTTGACCATAATCAGGAAGATGATCTGTGGTAGTAGGCAGCAACATTGTACTACTTCTGTCTTCACCTCAAAGGCCTCACTGAGCTTTCCATCGTTGGTCGTTTAGCATGTAGTACCATACAGCATATAGCTGTTGAATGAGGTTGATAAAGACTTTTTCATCATATAGGTAAGTTTTAATATAATCCCAGCGTGTTTAGAAAATGGAAAGCAAGATCTTTGCGAACTTTCAGCTGTATGCCACAGCTTTTTAGGCAGATCAGAAGAATCTTGTTTTCGACTTTGTAAATATGGGAGTATATTAAATCTTACCCATGTAATGATGAAACCTGACTCGAAGCTCGACTTCTTTTAGGACGTTTGATTTTGCTTTGATTTGACGATTCTGGACGCACTACGTTGAGACATTTAGCTTCACAATCACTTATAGGGAATCGTAAGACCAATTTGTTTCTCAACTAGTTTCAGTAAGCTTATTTAACCGAGGATCATGACAGCAAGGTTCAACTCAAAAGGAAGGAAGGTCACAATCATACAATGCTACGCACCTACAAATAATGCAGAGCAAGAGAAAAAGGAGGGCTTCTACAGACAACTTCAATCAACACTGGACAAGTCTCACCCCAGTTGGCGATATCAAAATTCTAATGGGCGACATGAATGCCAAACTTGGAGGGGACAACACAGGAAGAGGACTAACCATAGGTCGAGACTCGCTCGGTGAGGTGATGAACGAGAATGGAGAATTGTTTGCAGAATTCTGTGCATCAAACGATTTGGTGATTGGAGGCAGTGTGTTCAAGCACAAGGATATCCACAAAGCAATTTGGATTTGATTTCACCAGATGGATACACTAAAAATCAAATCGACTTTATCTCAATCTCAAGAAAATGGAGACGCAGTCTACTTAACACAAGGTCAAGAAGAGGAGCAGATGTAGGTTCAGACCACTATCTAGTGCAAGGAACCTTCCAAATCAAGTTGAAAGCCTTCAAGGAAGCTGGTAGTAGACCGCAGTTCAAATACAACGCTCGGAAACTGAAGGATGAAACTATAATGGACATCTTCACGTCAGCCATGAAGACAAAATGGGAGATATCGAGCAACATCCCTGAAGAAACCTGTGTGCAAGAACACTGAAAGTCTTTGAAAGAGATATGGAAATAAACCTACATAACCGTATTAGGAAGGAAGAAGAAAGAAGACAACGAATGGATCTCGACGGATACCTGGAAGCTGATAGAGGAGAGGAGGAGGGTGAAGCAGAAGATAAATCAGTGCAAGGATGCTCAACGACAAGAGGAACTGAGTACAATGTATAAAACACTGGACAAAGAAGTGAAGAAGAGTGTGTGGAAAGACAAAAGACACTTCTACGACACACTGGCAAGTGAAGCAGGACAAGCTGCAGGTAAGAGAGACCTGACGACATTGTATCAAATAACCAGGTTGCTATCAGGGAAGAGACCAACACAGATGAAACCAATAAAAGATGAAGAAGGAAATTTAATTACGAAAGAAGAGAAACAAAGGAAACAATGGGCCGACCACTTCAAGAAGCTCTTGAATCGACCACCACCTGCACTTCGTCCAGAAATACCACCTGCAGCCGCTGAATTACAAGTGAACATAAATCCTCCAACAAAAGTGGAAGTCCTGAACGCCATAAAGCTACTGAAATGTGGGAAAGCAGCAGGACCAGATGGGATCCCCCCAGAAGCACTGAGAACAGATGCAGAGACAACAGTGGACATGCTCACACCACTATTGCAGAAGGTGTGGAAGGAAGAGAAGATACCTGCCTATTGATTGGAAGAAGGGTTACCTTGTCAAACTGCCGAAGAAGGGAGACCTCAGTGTTTGCAATAACTGGCGTGGAATCACTCTCCTGTCCACCCAATGCAAGCAAAATATTAAGCTGCATCATCCTGGAGCGGCTAAAGGATGCATTGGATTCAAAACTACGACCGCAACATGCTGGCTGGGTTCAGGAAGTACAAAGCATGTGCGGACCGAATTGCAACGCTACTCTACGCATCATCACAGAAAACAGCATAGAATGGCAGTCAACTTTCTACCTCAACTTCATCCACTTTGAAAAGGCCTTTGACAGCGTCGACCGAGAAGTAATTTGGAAACTGCTTCAATACTACGGAATACCGCAAACCTTTATCCGCCTCATTCAACAACTATATGAAGACGCCACTTGCCAAGTAATTCACAGTGGGAAGCTCAGTGATGCCACTGAAGTGAAATGAATACAGGAGTGAAACAAGGCTGCCGCCTACTATCACCGATCACTTTCCTGATTGTGGTCGACTGGATCATGCAGCAAACAGCGGGGGGCGAGAAGAGGGGGATACGCTGGACTGCGGAAAAGAACCTAGACGATCTAGATTTCGCCGATGACTTGTGCCTAATGTCACACAAACTTGAAGATCTACAGGCGAAAACTAACAAGTTGACAGAAGAGTCAGGGCCGCGAAGACGGGACTTCAGGTGAATATAGAGAAGACAGAAGTGATGAAGATACCGCACCACCACCACCCACAACAACAACAAACTCCAGTCACCATCAAAGGGAGGAACTTAAAGGAAGTAACCTCCTTCACCTATCTAGGAAGCACTGTTTCAACTACAGGCGGCACAGGCACAGACGAGGATGTCAAAGTCAGAATCGGAAACACAGCAAGACAGGCGTTCATTAGCCTGAAACCAGTGTGGAGATCTTCTGCACTCAGCATAAAGCGTGAGCAAGATCCGGATTTTCAACACCAACATCAAGTCAGTGCTTCTGTATGGTTCAGAGACTTGGCGCGTTACGAGCGGGATTTCCAACAAACTACAGATATTCATCAACAACTGCCTACGCTTGCTCCTTACTGAAGATCAGATGGCCAGAAAGAATAAGCAACAAACAGCTCTGGGAACGAACCAATCAGAAACCTATCACGCAACAAATATGCAGAAGGAATTGGAGATGGATTGGGCATCCACTGAGAAGGCCGACTGGGGACATCAGGCGTCAGGCCCTCGAGTGGAATCCCCATGGGAAGCGAAGAGTTGGACGTCAAGGCGAGGGTGACATGGAGGAGATCGTACGGGGAGGAAATAAGAGGTTGTAGGCTGTCGTGGGGCCAGGTTCAAAAGATTTCAGAGAACAGAGTTCACTGGAGACGTGCTACTGAAGCCGTATGGTCCATTAGGAACCCAAGGGACTAATAATAATAATAATAATAATCATAAATATTTAATCGAGGAAGTTTATTTTGATGTGCTTGTTTTTTCCCCTCTTATTCAATCTTAACGTCGTCAAAAATCCTTTGTAGCGTTTGCAAGGTTTCTCACTTGAATGAAAGCACTGAAAAAGTTTTCTATTCTCGTGTCGTGAATCTGCTCTAATTTTGACTGCGACATCTGACTACGCCCAGTGAACGTGAACAGG